TTAACTCTACACACGAACACGACCATTTTCAAGGACGATAATTTTGTTGTGTGATTGTTCAAATCACTCCGCTCAGCTGGCTAGCTTACAATGCTCCAATACGATAGGCTTACTGCAACCTACTGGCATGGAAACACAAGACTGTCAACCATTCTTATTTGATTAATTAACAATAGCAATAGCCTATATTTAGCAGCAATTATAGTCCGTGAGGTAGGCGAAGGACTCTGAGGGATTAACGTCCCTTCCACCAACGCACGCGCATTCACTAGCAGGGCCCTACCTACCCCACGGCGAGTGACCCATGTGTGTGTGTGTGTGTGTGTGTTGGTGTATAGTGTAGAAACACACAGAGGTGTGTGTGAGGACTGTAATCCCTTAGAGTCCTTCGCTGGCCTCACGGACTTTAAGTTTGTATTAGTTTACCAGACAGATATCTATTTGTATAAATTTTAAATATATTCTTTTAGCTTAGTTAATATTAGGATCTACTTTTTGTAACGTGAACTTAAAGTACAGTAGAATGACGAAATAAGTTGTCTGAAAGTGTTGTCTGAGTAGCAACTAGTAAGCCATGAGGATAGAACTACACTTCACAGTCTTTAGCATAGATTAAACATACTCCTTAACAAGACACGAACTCATGAATTAATTTCTATGAAAATAATCAGCAACATTTTTTTCCCATTTTTGAACAGAGAAATATCTTTTTTGTCTTGTTTTGTTACACAATTTTGTCTCTGCTTCTCTTCTGAAACAACACAACCAGATGCGTAATAAAGGCCAATGACCTAAATATCATGATTGTGCAATGTTGTATTTTAATGTAAAAATGCAAATCATGGCATTAATTTGAAAATATTTGTAGTTAATTCAAATTATTTTTTTGAAGATTCAAAGTTTCTACACGGAAAAAGAGAATCTGAAGTCAAACTGGACAAAGGACTCCCGAAAATACAACTATGTACAGATAGTGTCACGGTGCGTGGCGCCTCGCTGGAGCATGCGCACTAATTTGCTGTGTTAATTCCCCATCTGTCAAAACTTGGGCTAACATATGATTAAATGCAAATTCGTTATTACGCATGCGTCAGCCAGACACCTAGAACTATGGTCCGGCCTGTATCATTGTCATGCTATTAGAATCCCAGGCCAAGCCACCCAAGTCTAAATATAGCTTTAAGGTTGCACCCTCCCCTCCCCCCTCGCCATCTCCATTCACAGTGGCCCACTCCTTTCGAGGTCATTGTCCAACCCCTCCCATCCTTCTATTGTTTGTTTTGACTTCCTAGTATTTCTATTCTGACTTTTTCTTTAAACATTAAATTAAATAAATCATGGAAGTCGTAAAGGAATAAAAGTGATAAAACTTTTTAACTTAGCAAAACTACTGACTCAACAAGTTCTTGGAAGTACTTGACTTGCCTACAACAATGTCGGCATAAAATATTAATGGTTTTGGGTTTTGGGACTGCTAATGGTTTTTATTGCCCCACAACTCTAGTAATAAATTATTAAAATCCTAAACAATCATCTGATAAACCTTTTTATGTGCTCCTAACCAACGGCAGTGAATTGAAAGTAATTAATTGTTATAATCTGTACCGGAACCGAATACGCTATGTAATTAGGCTAGTACCTCGGTGCACCGCAGACCCCTAACTAAATGCATTTATATGTTTTCAAAAGTTTAAAATAAACAACCCGTTATTGTGTTGGTTGGAAAAAAGTAACCAGTTGTGTTACATTATTTTGTCAAAATGTTGCTGCCAAATCTTTACTCCTAAAAATGCTTTACCTAATTTTTAACTACTTTATTATGGCTATGACCTATCATAGTTGTAAAATAGGTTAAGCCTTTATCTTAACTGTTTTTTCTTGACATAATCATGTTAGGAGCCAAATGTGTTAATAATGTGTGATACTGTAATTGTTGTTAGAAAACCATAAATGTAGGAAATTATTCATTTTTATAGTAATATCAATTAAATAAAATGAGAAAAATACTGGAAGCCCTGTACTGTACTCATTTTGTACCAAGAAAAAATAAAATAGGTAAGGGCAAAAATCGATTATTTTAAAATGTTACATCGGTTAAAATCAGAATTATTAACCTTAGTAGGGATCCAAAACTGTGATTGGAAAATTCTTTTGAGTCTATCATAATAACATAAATATTCGCTGGGTAATATTCGATATTCCAAAATATTATGAAGTATTCGATTCGACTCGAACCCAAAAATCACTATTCGCACACCCCTAATGGGAATATCCCCATTAAAAATCAAAATTTCAAAAAAAAGAAAAAACCAATTTCTACAAACGAAAAGGAAACTATAGCCTAGATAGAACTGTGAAGATATTTTTGGCTGGCTAAGTGTACCAAAATATAACAAGTTTGATCCAATATATAATAGTTCATATAAAGCCTATATTTAAATCATTAATTAATAGGCCTTAGCCACAAATAAAATACTGTTTAACTCCTACAGGTAAAGTCTACACAAAAATAAAGTAGGCTTACCTAACCAATTTTTACAAACGATATGAAATTATAGCCTAGAGAGAACTACGAAGGTATTTTGGGCTGGCTATATGTACGTAAAAATAGGAAAGTTGACCAAATCAGTGCCATAGTGCATATTGAAATCATTAATTAATAGGCAGTAGCATAGACAATAGAGTAAATATAGACTGTCAAAGAAAGGTTTTGCGATCTGCCGCTAGAGCGTTATCGCCGTTCGATATCGGTTATCGGTATTCTATTCGGTTTCATCACCGACTACTTGCCAGCTGTTACCAGCACTACCACTCTTGCAAACGAAATGCTTACTATATCGCTAGTATCGTCTTCTGCAATCGTGTCAAAATCATGAACATCCTACGCGGCTGCGTATACATCATCATTGAATGCCGTGGTCCCGAAACGTCACCGTCGTCCACGATTGCGGCAAAATTGAGAACATCTTCAGCGGCCGTGTGGACATTATCGTCTTGCGCGATCGTAGAAAAGACGTGATCATTTTTTACCGCGGTCACAAAAACGTCGTCTAGCACGGTCGTGGTTTAAGAACATCTCCCACGGTCGTTTAGACATCATCATCGTCTTGCGCCATCACGGAAACGTGATCGATCGTTATCTAGCACGATCGCGGTAAAATCATTAAATTTCCCGACTTTGATGTCAAAATAAAGACTAAATCCCAACTTATTACCATTATGAACCATTATGAAATTCAAAACTAATACCTGACTTTCACGTTTTCCCCGACTACTAGACACCCTGGTTAATTAGATTTTGACCATGCAAATATAAAACAAATCCTTCCAATAAACCACTTCCGGTTCCTAATATTATGGATTGATAAAGAAAAACTTTGAATCATTGTAATGAAACTACAAAAGTATAACAAGTATATGTTTAAAAAAATACAATAAATGATGGAATTTAAATTAAGTTATTGCTAAATATTAAATAAGTACTTTTTCCAAGTAAGTAAGTAAGTAAATATTAAATACTCCAATCCTGGTGAATTCCTCCAAAGTTGGCAACACTACTCCCAACTACCAAGTTGTTATGGAAACGGTCGCTAGCGCTTGATGCTGCAGCGGTGGGCGCCGTAACTACACATTACCCGTAGCGGTCGGCGCCGGAATATACGCTAACCGAAGCACAGCTGACAGTCTCTATTTCTCTCTTTTTGTCTATGGCAGTAGCCACATATTAAAATACTGTTTACTGTTTAACCTTCACTGTGTAATGGTTAAGTTAACAAATACTCTGTCACTAAATCTAATTTAAATTTCGTGAAGGTAGTGATTCTACAATACTACTATCGTTCGTGTATCCTGTGTAGGTAATGAATATAAAAATAAATTGAAGCTTTCGACACAGAGGCACAAATTAGACACTAAAGGGAGACACATTAATTGGCAGCCCACACTCTTCACTACTGTAGTTGTTTACCACAGACGACACCGTGACACCGACCGATGCCGGATGCAGTGCAGTTTTTTGGGTTCGGCGTAAAATGACGCGGGAAGAGGACAGCTGATTTAAGTCGCTCAGACCAAAGAGTAAAGTGCCATCCACTCGGAGTAGGCCTACACGTACGAGAGAGAAGAACTGCTTTGCTCTCGCTTGTTGACAGTGTCTATTCAGGTCTCACACCCGACTTTATGTTTTGCTATTCACTGCTGAAACTTTTACTCTAAGTTTCCTCTTGCTTTCTAGAAATACGTCTCGGCTCATTGTTTTTGAATTTTAATGATTTTTCCTACAACGAGGGCGCAAATATTGGAATGTTGAGAAGGCGTATCGGCCCAGGTGGTATGCCAGTCCGCCCCTGTTCATAATTATGTTAAATGTACAAAATTTAAGAAAACAAACCTCAGAAGGTATGGTGACAACTATTTGTCCAATTCTCTCAAAGCAGGCAAGTCTTTAAAAAAGTTACATCTGCTAATCATATGGATCCATGCAGCATTATTTCTGCCTTAACTGCAAAATCTGGCCAAGATTGAGAAAATGTCGATTGGCTTAGGTTCAAGGTCGGGTTCAACCAGGGCTGTGGGTTCACCGGATGTCATTAGCAAGCAAACACAGGAAAAATACCGATACAAAAGATATGTATGTAATATCTACATATTTCCTTATAAAACTTGTTATAGATGTTGATAGTTCTGAGCAAAACTGATAAGTTAAGTTGATGAAATAGTTGTATTTTGTATTATATCTATAAACATTTTTTTATTGCTTTATTAAAAACCATTAAACATCATTGCTTTACTCGACTGGCTTTCACTGCTATGAAAGCAATCCTAGCTTATTTAGATTTGTTTAGAATTGTTAGATGTTGTTATGTGTGCTTTACTAGTATGAGGATGCTACTTTTAAAATGCCTTCTGATCTCGATAGATGGGCTCGGCATACATGACAGGTAATGTGAAGAGTTTATTTTACTCCAAATAATTCGCATATAATAAACAGTTTGACATGCCTCAGTAGATCCAGTAAATGCCACTTTGTCCACATGAGGATGTTGGGAGAGAGCTGCTCCAGCATCACCAAAGCCAGGCACCATGTTGATGACTCCAGACGGGAACCCTGCCTCTCTGGACAGTTGAGCTATGTGGAGGGCTGTGAGAGGTGTCTGCTCTGCTGGCTTCATGACTATCACATTACCTGTCACACCATCATCACATTATCATCACTTAAAGACAGCAATGCAAGGTGAGTGACAGTGACTGACCAAGATCAGGTCAGCTGAGCAATAGACATTTACATTATTTACATAAATCAATAGAAAGAATTAACGTTTTTTCTTTTTGAGCAAGAAATCATGCAGGCTAACAGCAAACATTTCACAAAACAAAATCTTTTGACTGTTGATTATAAAGTATCTTTTAATGTAATTTTTTACATAGCCTATTCTTTTAATGTAATTTTTTTGCATAGGCAAGTCAAAACATTAAAATCGCAAAGCATGATGTATTTCTGTATTTTTAATATGTTGTTAGGACTAGTTAGGGTATTTCATGATTTTATGGTTTCATGACAATTATGAACCCATTTATGTGGGATGGGCTTTTTTCAAAAGCTGTTTTAATAATGTAACAGTCTGCATCCTCTTGCGATATCTTTGTTTCTAAACCTTCGTTTCTGAAAGCAAAGTACAGTTGGTCAATGAGACAATGTTTCTTGGAGTCATTTGCTAAGAATTTCTCCTGAGGCAATTTGATGACCGTGGAAGTGTCAAACACAACATTGTTGCAGGACAGTGTACCATAGCGGCGCATTCGTTCTGCTGTTATGGTATTCCTGAGGTCCCCATCTTCAAGGGTATCCATCAAACACTACCGCCGTGCTCCTCCCAAAATGGTTGATTGCATCCTACTAATATTATAAATGAGAAAGTTTGGATGTATGGATGTATGGATGGATGTATGGATGTATGGATGTATGTTTGTGACAAGTGAACGCGAAAAATACTGGTCGGTATGGGCTGAAATTTGGCATGATGATAGCTTACATTCCCGATTAACATATAGGCATATTCTTATTTCAAAAATCCTTTCGGGCTCCGCCCCAGTGGCTCTGGAGTTTCCCATGTTATCCTTATGAGAAATGGAATTATTGAATCTTAACAGTTGTTTCAACTAAAAGTTGGTTCTGTTCTATGATGTTCAATAGCATTAAAGTTACAAGGATTACCAACAGGGTGCAGCACTATTATTTCTTTTACATTTATGACAACAGCTAATTTGCAACCAAAAGGTGAGTGAGCGTAGCGAACGAACTTCAACCTGGAGGCGAGTTAGCGTAGCGAACGAGCTAACCTGAAGGCAAGTGAGCGCAGCGAACGAGCTCCAACCTAAAGGTGAGTGAGCATAGCGAACAAACTTCAACCAGGACGTGACTGAGCCACGCGAACGAGATAATCTTGAAAATTAAGAAGTTAAACGGGGCAAAGCCCGCGGGTTACAGCTAGTAGGTGATATAGGATTCCTACTTCACTAGGATTTTCCTGGATAGACTCATTTCTATGCCAGATAACCTTAATGAAGAAGATATCCGCCATACACTACCACAAATGTAGTGTCATCAATAGGGATGCAGGGATGTTTTGTGGGAGACAGGGTAAAAGCGGCATATAATGAAGAACTGGCCCCTTTACTCATCCCTACTTCATTAAACAATGATATAGGGTAAAGGGCCAATTCAAATTTGATGTGTTTTTCTAACTCCTTGTCCGACTGCTTAGTGATACACAATGAATGTCATTCTATGGAAAATAGAGGGTACCATTTTTCCCTTAATACATGTTGTAAATGTTGTATGTGCATGTTGTAAGAGAAAATTATTTCAACTCGTTAAATAAAAAAATCTAGATATTCATAAATGATTTATTGCATAGTTACCAGAAAAGTGTTGGAGGAATTAGCTTTGTGATTAAACAAGAGCAAAACAAATTTACTACGAAAGCAGTTTTTAAGAATTCTGCCATAATATGGGTACTACACAATTTCTGAGGGCCGAACCCCAAAAAAATTTAAATTTTGGTAATAACTTAAAATCATTTGTAATATTTGAAAAATCATAGTTCAAAAACTATTTGATACACAAATTTGAAACTATGCTTAAATAAAAATATTAGAACTTTTATGTACCGTAGCCTACTTTAATTAATACATTTGAGTAGTAGAAAGAAAAATACACTGGTAATAAGTTATAAGCCAAAAACTAAAAAAAGTACATACATTTTGTTGTTTTTAACTTATTACGCAGGGAGCACAGGGTTTTTGAAGCTGCAAGCTTGGTTTTGAATTACCCTAACTGGTCCCACCAACATATTAATAAACGGTATCAGCATTCTGACACATACTTTCTCCCATAAGTTTGTCAACAACCTTTATCATGTGTAAGCGGTGAGAGTAAATATACGGAAATGGGATTTGTACAATTTTGTTCAGAATTTAAAGGACTATAAGATACTAAATTTTTATCAAAATCGTTCGGGCCATTTTTGGGAAAATCCGATTTTTCTGTTATTTTATGGGGGTTTTATGGGAAAATGACATAATTTACAATAACTTTTGAACCGTAATTTTTACAGAAATGGGATGTGTACCATTTTGTTCAGAATATAAAGGACTATATCATACTAAATTTTTATCAAAATCGTTCGGGCCATTTTTGGGAAAATCCGATTTTTCTGTTATTTTATGGGGGTTTTATGGGAAAATTACATAATTTACAATAACTTTTGAACCGTAATTTTTACAGAAATGGGATGTGTACCATTTTGTTCAGAATATAAAGGACTATATCATACTAAATTTTTATCAAAATCGTTCAGGCCATTTTTGGGAAAATCCTATTTTTCCGTTATTTTATGGGGTTTTATATGGAAAAATCCCCATTAAAAATAAAAATTTCTAAAAAATTAAAAAAACTTTCAAAATTGTAAGGACCATAACATACTATGTTTTTTATCAAAACCGGATTTTTTTCTAAAATCCTATTTTTTGTTATTTTATGGGGTTTTTAAGGGAAAATAACATATTTGACCATAACTTTTGAACCGTAATTTTTACAGAAATGGGATTTGTACCATTTTATTCAGAATTTAAAGGGCTACAACATACTACATTTTTATCAAAATCGTTCGGGCCATTTTTGAGAAAATCCGATTTTCCGGTTTTTTATGGGTTTTTATGGAAAAATCCCCATTAAAAATAAAAATTTCAAAAAAATGAAAAAACACCTGGAGATACCATGGATTAGAACCTACATACCAAATTTCATCGAAATCGGACCACAGGTGTAGTCTCTAGCTCTGTACACATCCAGACACACAGACACACACACACACAGACATCACTTCGAAAACCACTTTTTTTGGGTCCAGGGGGACCCAAAACGAATATATCCACTCAAAACTCAAACTCGAAAATTTTGACGAAAACAATACTTTCTCCATGGTATAGGGAGAAAGTAAAAATACAGAAATACATCAGGCTTTCCGATTTTAGCCTCTTTTTATGTACGATTTTACTGGCCTACTAGATGTCTTGTAAAAACAGAATCAGTTTGTGGTAGTCCACAGTTAAATTTACCAGTGGCAATAGCTGGGCCGATTTTCCAAGCAGCCATCAGTAGTGGAAAATTCCAAGGTATGATTTGAGCACAGACACCTACGGGCTCATGGCGGGTGTAGGCAAAGAAGTCTCCATCCAATGGCACAGTCTTGCCATGGTTCTTGTCTGCATAGCCAGCATAGTAGCGCAGGCACTTTATACTCAAAGGAACATCTACTCCGTATGACATAGCATATGGTTTGCCATTGTCTAGTGTTTCCAAGCTCTAGAATAAGAAAGTAAAGTATTACTACAGTACTTGTTAAGGTTAACATATAAATAATTTAAAATCGTGTTTATATATTTTTAAATTTGTATACTAAAATAAAAATTATTAACTAACAAACATTTTACAAAATATTTTACTGGAATCAATTGACAAATTCTTTAACATTTCATTGAAATATTGTAGGATTGAAATGATCAAAGGTGAACGATCATCATATAACCACATTTTGAAAAAGCTAGGCTTACTTTACTTGTCTTGTTCCCTTTTTTGGGGGGTTTCATTTTTTTAACTTATTGAAATTGAAACGTTATTGAAAACAGGTTTAACTAGATACTATAATTTACAATTAGACTATTAGTTCTTACTGCAAGATACTGAGCGTCCCGTTCTATTAGATCAGCAAGTCGGTTGAGTAGAAGTCCTCGTTGAGAGGCATTCAGCTTTCTCCAAGGGGAATTTAGAGAAAATGCTTTGTTTGCTGCTTCTACTGCTATGTCCACATCAGTCTGAAATCATTTAATTCAAGATTTTAGGTGGCTTTTAACTTTAAAGCTGTACAATGGAATTCTCATTTAATAAAAATAAACTTGAGATATGATGAGGATTTTTACATTTCTCCCTTTCTTTTTAAGGCATTGTATAATTTTGGGGAAAAAATCTTCTCTCAATAAGGCCAACTAATTTCATTTTTTATTAAGAGCTTTTATTTCAAACACTTTAGTAATTCAGGTGCACTCATATTAGACAGGATACAATAATGTTTCTTTTAGTTGTGTCAAACATCCTTCCACGGTTAACAAGATTTGTGGGCAGGATTTGACTGTTTTGTCCAGATCTGAGATTTAAGACAATTTCCACAAAGGGAAGAAGCTATTATTGTAGGTGGCACAGAAAGACTTAGGCCGCGGCTCCACTTGCCGTAGATTGCAGCGCTGCAAATTGTAGCTGGTCAGTTGAAGAAATGGGAAGGCAGCGATCAAACGAAGGTGGCTCCACTAGCGACAGTCTGCAGCGCGCTACATTTTACGGCGCGCCGTAGAATGTAGCGTCGCGCGGGAATGGAACTCGGACCATTTTCACGCTACATTTTGCAGCGAACAGGTGGCTTCACTAGCTGTAGATTGTAGTGCCGCGTCAAAGTGTACGTACAACCGACCAGCATACAGGCACGAGACACACGCTACAATCAGTATCGACTTTTTAGTGTCCTTAGTTTTTGATTTTTGTGGATTGATTTGTAATCAATGGAGCCTGAACTATAGACTGTGAAATTATTATATTATAAATTTATAACTTATTATATCGGGAGTGTGGGGATCTTGTTTTATAGAGGTTGTGTAGGGGGTTTCTACTTTATACATATTATAAATTAATACAGTAGTGATTGGAGAAGCAAATACGTAAACACATTCAATTTGTTTTTAAATGCAGCAGTCGTCAAATTGTTATGATTAGCCCTATAATGAAAAGTTCCTAATGGTTGTTTTAGATTATTATTAATATGTACAACAAAAACTCAAGAAACTCATTGATATTCAGCGTAGGCCTACTTTGGTTAGACATATTACTTCTGAGGGTAAATGAGTGCAATAAAAAATAAAAAATGGAAATAGAATAGAAATAGAGATAAAATGACCATTACAGTAAGAGTAGGTAATTCGACACACCCAGGATTGATGAAGCGAGGGTTCACTGTATAAAATTAATTAGTTAAAATTCAGTACACTAAAATTGCATTAATGTCACTGAAAGCCGTTCCCCTACTCCAATTGCTTCTCTTAGTTTGGTATTCTTCTTCTTCAAACGTGTTGATACTGTCTGAATACTTTTGTAGTTTAGTATGCAATGTGTAGAACATCCCTTCGGACTTTCTATTGCTTAAAATTGGATGGATCCAACATTTTCGGATGCTGTGATCGGCGTCGTCTTGATAAAAGTACACTGATAACAACAAGACTACGAATGTTAATTTGCGGCATGATCCAGGGTCAAATTTACCTCCGCGCTACACTAAACTGCTAGTGGAGCCACGGTGCATGTGAGGACGCTGCAGATTGTAGTTCGTACTCTGCTGCTAGTGGAGCCACCAACTGTCGCGTGTAGCGCGCTACAATTTGCAGCGCGACGATTTACGGCAAGTGGAGCCCCAGCCTTAGACCCAGAACCGATTTAGCCTGCTTTCATTTTGATGTTCCCAGAGGCCTAAACACCGTTGGTTCGAATTTTTATATATAAATATATTAATAACTAATATACAGGGTGGCTGGCCATCAGTGTTACAAACATGTTTTTGTGTATAAGGGGTCCAAGTGTAAAAATTGGCTTCCTAAAGATTTTTTTTTAATAACCATGTTTTTAAACACCACAATACATCAATTTCTCAATTACCTGTAAATAGATTTGAGTAGATGATGTCATTTTCATGTTCTATATTAAATTTTGAATATGAATCATTGAAAATGTTAGAGGATCAATGATAAAAACTCCATTGTAAATCGTTCCAAAGATTAAAATTAAGGTCCTTGATAAAAATTAAAAATCATTGGTTTATTGCATTTTTCTTCACCCTGTATACAAGAGAGTAGCAAAATATTTTGAAAACTGTGCCATTTTATAAGCTTTCCAACCATTCTACACTATTGAGATTTAGATTTGTTTGTTTTAGTAGATTGAATACTAGAAAACACAAGGATTTTTTTACTGTTTTTTTTACGTTTATACTGTTCAAACTGAACAAAAAAGTTTTGCTGGTCCTCATTAAAGGTACTCATTAAACCAAATTCTATTTAAATAATATATTTAAGTGAAAATCAAATCAGGCAAATGGGAATTTGCTTAGGCTGCAGGTTTGCTGCGGCGAGGTATTTTACAATAGCTAGGCCTATGTATATTTTAAATTTACTGTATACATTTCATATCTAAACCTTGCTGTTAAGGGATGTTTTTCCGTAGCAGGGCCACTAAAATGTAATATTTGTTTGAAAAAAAAAAATTAAAATGACAGAAATCAAACAAAATTGATGGTTTTTAAATATAAATTTAAAATTTCCTCAATAACCGTTAGAGATAGTTCAATTATGGTAAGGCCTAATAGAAGCATTTTTGTGTGTTCATCGACTTTTGTTCGAACAAGATCTCTGCATTTCCAATTGTTAGAAAAATGTGGCCACAAAAATATTAAAATTGGCAGCCAATTTCTAAGATGGCAGCTGTAGCACAGTATGCACGGAATGTTGATTTTTGATATGTTGTTACTGAATACTAGTCCTACACATGTGCAAAGTTTCATGACTCAGGGAATTGTTTCCAGGTAGAAGGGTATTTTTACCTAAAATGACTGGACTATGCTGAATGCATGCCTAGTATGTTTGAAATTTTAAAAACCCTTTGTTTTGGAGTCTTCAAACCGATATAGCGAACATAAGCGGATCTAAACTTCAGTAGTGTAGCATGTAGTTGGAAAGCTTAATAAATGGCACAGTTTTCAACTTTTTTTGCTACGTATACAGGGTGTAGAAAAAGGCAATAGACCAATGATTTTTTTAAATTTTTATCAAAGGTCTTAAATTTAAAGGAAGGATTTACAATGGAGTTTTTATTACTGATGCTCTAACATTTTCAATGATTCATATTCAAAATTTAACGTAGAACATGAAAATGACATCATCTACTCAAATCTATTTACAGGTAATTGAGGAATTGCTGTAGGGTATTGTGTTTATTTAACATGGTTATTTTGGAAAAAAATAAAATAATTCTTTGGGAAGCCAATTTTTACACTTGGAACCCCTTATATGCATCATCACACTCCATTTACTTTGTACTTACACCATAAAAATTTTCTAACACTGATGACCAGCCACCCTGTAAGAAATAACATTAAAACCCTTTTTTCTAAAAAAAAAAGTGTACTCATGTTATAGTTATTAATTACTTAGTATCCCTCATAAGTGAACAAGTTTACAATTATGAATATATAGACCTATATTTTATAATACTGTACATATAAAATCTCAGACTTTGAAAATCTCGAGTAATTTTCATCTGATTTTGATGAAATTTGGCATAAATGTGTAGAGCTAGAGCTGGATAAACTTCATTCAGTTTGTGAACTAGCAAGATCAGTCATGGAAAGAGAATTTTATGGGGTTTTTAAATGTTTAAAAATTAGACTTTTCACGTTTTTGCCCTTTAAACATATAACTGCCCAAAGTTCATTAGAACCAATATGTAGAGCTTATAAAACAAACAATTGTGTTGAAGCATTGTTATACCGAGTGTCTCATAATACTCCCCCCTGGTTAATGTTTGAACGGCTGCATATATTCGAAGAAGCTTCGATATACGTTTAGGGTAATGTAAAGTACTTTTTGTTAGTATTTTGAAATTCAGTGTATTAATCAAATGGTTTCATTATTCCTTATCATATTTTTAATATCAACTAGTTGTTCTGTGCTTCGCAACAGAGCAAGAATACTTATAGGAGATTAATGTGGGTCTCTAAATCTACTGTAAAAAACAATTAATCACACTTAGCAAATGATACAGGAAAATCTTGATTGTACTATAGATAAAGTGTTCGTCTATGATTGTACTTGTTGCTTATTTAAATGAAACTCTAGTGTATTTGCATTAAAATCAAAACTATATTTACCTTTATTGTAATGTAAACACCTAAATGATATTTAAGGGGGTTTCACATCAAAATCTTGATCGGTGTGCTGCTTGGGATTTTCTCAGTTTGTGATCCTTAATAGCTTGATAGGTATAGATAAGAGTTGCAGGGTAGTTACTAATAAGTATAGTTAGGCTTTAAAAATTAACAGCCTCGGCTGCCTGTGTTGAGGTCACTTAGTATTCTTTTCCAATACAAAAGCAAATTATGTAAACAAATAGATTATTTTGAAATAAGTACATACAAATTGAAAAGAAGAACACTGTGCTAAATACAATTTTTAGAAATATTGCGAGAGTAGGGTCTACGAGATTGTGCTGTTGCAGTCTGCAATGAATTTGAATTCGTTAAGTAGTAGCCTACATTTCACACGTGACCACCATCATAGTCAAAACCTTTAGAATGGTTCCGATTGTTTTAATGTATTGGTTGGTAGCTATTCACAACTGTCACGTTCAGACTTTAGTCTTTTTACACTTATGGTTCTAGAAAAGTTGTAAAGCCTGTTATGCTTTTTTTCTAATGTCCAATAGTTTTAATCAATAAAGATATGAATCTTTTATAATACAGGGTGCGGCGCGGGAACTTACTTATTTGAATTACGCGCCGTGTGGCGGCCATTAGTCCTAGGAAGGCGGGGCCATGCGCAATCTAGTGGGCGGGCCATGCGCAATCTGGTGGGTGGGCTATGAAGTTTTTCGTCCACTCAGTTCAAATGCAACCATGCAGTGGTCGAGAGAGGAGCGCGCGTTCGCAGTCTCTGTGTACTTTTCTAGTGGCCGGTCTATCGTTGCAACCCAGCGTGCGTTTAGGAGGCAGCCCACTGGTCGTGTTCCTGGTCGAACATCAATCGTTCAGTGGGTGAATACTTTTATGAATACAGGCAGTGTGTGGAAACAAAAACCAGGTCCTTCCAAAACCACTAGAACGCCAGAAAATGTCGAGAGAGTAAGGCAGGCGGTTTTGCAATCAACTAAGCGATCCGCACGAAAACATGCATCTGCGCTTAGAATTTCAGATCGCACAGTTAGGCGAATTCTGCACCAAGACTTAAAATTCCACCCTTACAAACAGGCAGTGGTGCAAAAACTAAATCCACGTGATTTTGTTTCACAACAAAGGGCATGTGAAGCCATCGTTGAAAACTTGCCTAACAACGCATTTTGTGTTTTTTAGTGATAGAGCACATTTTCATCTGTCAGGGTGTGTGAATAAGCAAAACATGCGATATTGGAGTGGTGTGAACCCCCGAGAACTTCATGAGAAGCCCCTTCATGCAGAACGAGTGACTGTTTGGTGTGCCTTATCCAGGACTGGCATCATAGGCCCATAGTTTTTTGAAGAGAACAATAGGGCAGTTACAGTCACTTCTGAACGGTAATTCAGATGATTCAAGAGTTTTTCCTTCCAAAACTTGATGAACTTGGTGTAAGAAATGTGTGGTTTCAACAAGATGGGGCCACGGCTCACACAGCACGCGCTTCAATGGCTCTCTTGCGCGAACACTTTCCACAACGCCTGATCTCCTTAAGGGGCGATCTCCAGTGGCCAGCACGCTCGCCGGACTTAGCCCCCTGCGATTTTTTTTTTGTGGGGATACTTGAAATCCTTGGTGTACACCAATCGTCTGAGGACCCTAGCTGAACTGAAGGACAACATTCGCGTTGCTATTGCTGACATTGGTCCAGACATGCTTGAGAAGGTGGAGCGAAACTTCCGATCTCGTCTGACAAAATGTATTGAACAGCATGGAGGTCACCTACATGATGTAATATTCAAGAATTAAACTTGTAAGTAAACCCGACGAAACTTTAAATGTAGCTCTTTGTAAAAAAGAAATAATTAAAACGCTATCTTTAATACTTTTTACTTTGTGATTATTTTAAAAGAGTAAGTTCCCACGCCGCACCCTGTAGTAGCAGCTATAATAATTAGAAATAGCTATAATAGTAAGCAGTAATAATTGTAGCAGCTAAGTTAAGGGATAAATTAAATTAAATAAAACTGTTGTACAAAACACAAAGTAAACCTTTAATAATTTAGGTGTACATTAAATCTCTGTAGTTGGCTGCCATTAAAAAAAAATAATAGTCAAATAATGAAAAAATATTAGGCCTAAGTTCAAGTAGGCCCACCTATATTATGTAAACTAACAATTTTGATAGGAAAAAGTATTCAATCTAGAGGTTTACAGTTTACTGTATCTAAAACTTATACAGCACGATGGACATCTTGTTATAAGCCACCATGACTCACAATAATATGTACGGTATATTGTGCTTCATTTACAGCAAGCCAACATACCTTATCCGATCGTTGAACTTCCGCAATCACTTTACCAGAAGCTGGATCAATGGTTTCAAAAGTTTTACCAGAACTAGATTTCAACCACTCGTTGTTAATGAATATCTGAAATCAAGAATGATGATGTATATGTTAAATCTTTTGATGATTTAGTCAGCTGATTCAATTGTCCAGAAATGTATTATATTAAACAAAACAAACATAGCCTACCACTGAAAAACAATATTATATAGGCACTAATAATATATTGGTTTAAACTTACAATTAAATCAAGCGCGTTATGATTTCCTTTTGCATTATTATCGTGTTGTGTTTTTGGCAGACGACCCGTTTTACATCTCGTGGAATTTTACCCCGCCACTTAGGCCTATGCCTAAATGGTTATAAATTAATTGTTGTCAAATTTTTACGCAATCAAAACAATAAAAAGGAATAACCTCTACCACTGTAAAAAAAACTATAATATATATATATTTATATTATATTTGATACTGTTCACGTGTAGGGCTACTGTAAATATTAATAAATAATACACCATAGTACCCTTTTTTTAATTATTTTTAATGACTGATGCATTTCAACACTAAGGTCATGGTGACAGTCTTTCACAATGTTATTAAATCTAATATGTAAACAAAGAAAATAAGTACAATCACATGTTTAAATTTTAACTAAATCTATCTTGAGTTGGAAAATTATATAATTAAGAATATCGTTATACCAATGGTTTTACTTATAAATTTTGTCTTAATTCTTGGATCTTATCATAAATTGGGTTTAAATTTTGTGTTTGCATTATGTTAAGGATGTTGCTTTCATTTTTTCTTGTTGCTAGATATATATGTAATTCTTCTTTTACATTCATCCTTTCTCCTTTTTGTTCATGTTCTAAAATTTTGACACTATCTTAAATTTTTCCATAACTATGGTTATGTGATAAAATGTGTTCCGGGTACATTGATTTTTGAGTTGTCATGTTGTTGGATTTTACTGATTGAATGTGTTCTTTGAATCGGCAAGAAATTGATCGCCCTGTTTGTCCGATATGAAATTTAGAACAATCTTTGCAATTGATTTGGTATATTCCTGGTTTTTCATATTTATTCATTGGTAGCCGATTATTGTTGGACATTTGTTGTATTAATCTGAAGGAGTTATTTCTTGTTCTATAACTAATTTTGAATTTTGACTTGTCAAATGTTTTTCTTAATGGTTTATCGATCGAGGTACTGAATGGGAGACATATAAAGTTCTTCATATAAAGCAGTACCTCTGGACAGAATAAAAGTAGGTATAATTGAAATTTAGTTTGTAAGTTAAATTAAAACTCAAATAAAAGTGTAAACATTGAGTCAGTAAAATTGTTAATTCCCTACATATTTCTGTAAGTTTTTAAAACCTATTAAAATCCTAATCCAAACATTTGTTGATCAGTTCAAATTTGTAAACAAAAAGCTACCATATCAAAATTATTCAAAAACATTTAAAGAATACATTGTAATGATCCTTCTGTTTCCATGAAAATAATGTTTCTTAAAAATCATAACTAAACTATTATTATAATCATAAAACTTGAGAATCTTGGGAGCAGAACCTGTACCTCTTAACCTCTGCTGTTTCAACTGTCAAAGTATTAACAGCTGGCTTCAATTAATATTTTTGACTATTTACACTCTTTCAAAATGTAAACATTGAAACTTTTGAAGCCCATGGGACGTAGCCCAAGGGAAATATGATAACAGGAATAGGCCTATGTTAATCAGGTATGTTTCAAACTACCTTCATACAAAATTTTATTTCAATCAGTACAGAGGTTCTTGCGTTATTGAGTAACAGACAGACACACAAACAGACACCATCTCATTTTTATATATTTGTATAGATTAAATATATAAACAATAATCCCAACTCACAAGGTAGTCCAGTGAATAGAGGTATGTTAACTTACAAACGGTCTGGTAAGTCTAAATTTTTTATATGTTGTATAGGACGGTAAGTAGGTGTTTAAAACGAAAAATGCACAATTCTCCCCCCTCCGCGCCCGCCGCCATATGGAAAAATAGAAAAAATCGGTACTTTCTAGAGATTTTCGCCTATATCTCCATTTTGGTGCGTTTTAGCGAAAGATACGGTATGTAAAGTCAATTTATTCCCTTAGGACAATTAAATTTCCTATAATATAAGTATAACAATTTGGTACTAAGAGTTATCAATAGGAAAATATTTCATTTTTTTTACAATAAAACATCAATTTTTTTGTTATTTTGTTAAATCTCTATTAGTCCAAGCAAACAAAAGAAAAACTGACACAGGGAGAGTTAAAAAAATTCAAGAACACGTTTTATGGTTTTATGATTTTTAGTGTTGGGTCTGCAGAGTGACATACTAAAAGTTGCCAAAAATCAGTCCGCAGGAAACCTCCTAAAATCTCTATTAAAAATTGCAGTTTTTTCCAACATTGGACAGATTTGAAAAAGATATACCACATGCATATTTTATTCAAATTTTTTTGAGATATTGACTTGGGGCGACCACCGATGTTTATTGGGTGGGTAGTACCATAGACTAACCAACACAAGTAGACTTCTCATCCCATTGTAAATTTTTAAGCACGTTTTTCGTGTCTAGTTCATGTACGTGACACATAGGCGCTAGTGTCGACGAAACTTTGTTTCTATTATTTTAGGGTTAATTTCTTGATTTGTGCTTTACTGTTTGTTGGTTATATAACTAGGGGACAAGTTATTGTTTATGATTAGATCGTATTATTTGGTTAAACGAGGTTTTAAATGGCTGTAATAACGGGAAACAAATTGTAAACAAAACACGACCTCTACATAAACCGTACAGAACTAACAAAAAAATTGTCTTCAGCTGTTCCATAAGGATGAGAAATCTACTAAGGGAGTATGTTTTATCTATGGCAGTACTTCATTTCGATAGGGAACTCATTTTTGGCCGCCATCTTGGATCCGCCATATTGGATAGGCCTATATATAAAAAAAAATTAAATGTAATGATAACGTTGTGACACATCATTATGAACTAGATTTTCACGCTGATTTCATTGCCAAAATCCGTTTTTTAATATCTGTTTACGTTTTAAAGATATATTTAAACGAAAACTCTCCCCCATACATTTCTTATGGACATTTCGTACTTAGAAGGTTTTTAAAAAACCATTTTTCTTATATCTCATCTTATCAACGCTTGCAGTTCAGTCTAGCCTTTAAATATTCTGTGATGTAAGCGCTTTCATTTGAGCTCCTATTGATCATTCAAATCGAACGAGTTAGTGACGAGCTACAATCCCCAAAACAATATTAAATTTAACTTTTTTTTAAATCTTTTTAATTTAAAGTTGTATATCTCGCATTGTTAATAATACGTCACCAAGTTCTTTGTGGTCTTAATTTACTCATTTATTGTTTCGCTTTAATTTTACTACTCATTTAATAAAATCTGACAAATTTAAAATAAGCAGAGTGCCTTCATTTAAAATATTTTTTTTTTTTATTTATCTTTAGTTGAATACTTATATCCCCAATTAAAAATAACTCCAAAAACTCTTTATGGTCTTAAATAATTTGTCAAAGTATTGGCTTTTATTTTAGCTAAAGATTACTTATTGATTGTTATTTATAATTGGGTATAAAATAAAAATAATTTAATGTTAAATGAAGGTCCACGACTCCCTTTAGATAAGTCAGATTCTATATAGTGATTAATAAGATTACAGCCAAACATTTACTAAGTAGGCCTAATTCAAAATCAGAAAGAGCTTGGTGACGTATTAACAACTCGAGATATAAATTTTAAAAAAAGATTTCTAAAAAGTTAAATTTAATATAGTTTTGGGGATTGTAGCTCATCGCTAAATCGTTCTATTTGAATGATCAATAGGTCAAATGAAAGGGCTTACATCACAGAATATTTAAAGGCTAGACTGAACTGCAAGCGTTGATAAGAACTGGAGATATAAGAAAAATTGTTTTTAAAAACCTTCAAAGTACGAAAAGTTATGTTTTCAGTCTTCTTTTAGTTGAATATTGATAGTTTTATTTATTCAAGTTCATTAAAAACGTACACCAATCTTAACTCAATTCTATTTTGACATTCAAAACATTAATAAAATAAATAAACGGATCATAACCTAATTCCATGTTTGTTTACATTGGAAATAAAAATATTTAGAAACGATATATCGAACCAAAACAATATCGATATTTAATACGATAATATATCTGCGGACATATTGATACAGTAGAACCTCTTTAATCCGAACTAATTGGGACCAGGGGTAGTTCGGACTAGTGAATAGTTCGGATTACAGAACATATTGTTTTTTTAAATAACAATAGCTAAAACATGGCTAAAATTGATCTAAATTATTTTGGGAAAAGTGAAAAAAATGTTTTATAAATTAAAATACAGTGTTTATTTAATACAGTAGTAAACATGGTGAATAAACAGTACTGTAAATTAAATACAGTACAATAAAGAACTGCTGTACTGTGTATAGAGTATAGCAATGAGGGGTTCGGATTAGTGGACGTTCGGATTACGGGGGTTCGGATTAAAGAGGTTCTACTGTATGTTACGAATTAACATGGATAAAACAAACTCCTCAAGGAGTATGGAATTAATAAATTAATTAATATATGGAATCAACCAACACAAGTTCATACTCGTTTATGGTGTTTACAGTAGTTCATGTGTTCACACTGAGTGCCCTGGTGTCTACAAAATCTTATTTTTAGGGTTAGGCCTATTTAGTTTCATGGTTTGTACTTTACTGTTTGGTTGTAGCCTACATCTGAGTTCTTTTATAAAACCGATTTATGAAGTCGAACAGCAAGTTTGGTTGGTTTGGTTAGTTTAGAACAGTTTAATTTCATAATCAACAATTATTTTTTCCTCAACAAGTGAGTGTTTATAAGATTTATGTTGAAATCTTAACTGCAGTACTTTGCTATTGAAACCGGGGTTTTACGGGAAATACAGAGGGAATTCAGGTTAAATTGAGAGAATTCTAGCGATAATTGTGGTACAGTGACCTGACACTGAAACTGCATTGCTATTATTTGTGGTTTGTGGTGAAACAG